AAAGAAAGAAAGAAAGAAAGAAAGAAAGAAAGAAAGAAAGAAAGAAAGAAAGAATGAATCAATCTGCAGGAGAAAAAACCCATCAGCATCCCCAACCAGTTTTGATGTAGGCTAGGTCTTGCTAGAGGGACTCTTGGTGCTCTCTGAAATTGGTGGTTTTCTTGCAGATGTTTCATTACCTAAGCCAGGTAACATCATCAGTGCTAGAGGGAGGAGGAAGAAGAGGACTGTGGGGTCTTTAGTGCTCTCTGAGCTGGGTTGTTTTCCTGCAGACGTTTCATTACCTAAGCCAGGTAGCATCATCAGGGTTAGGTCCAAGGACCCCTCACTTCAACCCTGAGCTAGCAATCATCTCCTTTAGGAGTCTTGCTTATTGGGTAACACGTGCCTTTCCCCTGCCTTTTAGCCACTTTCTCCTGAGTATACATTCATAGACATCCTGAATATAAGTCATCATCCCTCGGGTCAAACTCTGAACTTCAAAAATGGAGATTCTTCCACCTGGGCATTTGAACACCTGGCTAGCTATGCTAAAAGAAGCCACTGAGATTCCAATTTGCAAGTGTCAGAAGAACTTCTAAGACAGATAGAAAAGAATATTTGTAGCTGGGGGCGTTGGGTGTTGAACTGTGAGGTCCTTGATGCATCGTCGTTTTCTTGCAGACATTTCATTACCCAGGGCTGGGCTGCTGGGGGGTTTGCAGGGCTTCGGGAGATCCTCTAACTAAGATTCTCCGCAGTTCGGAGAAATCCCAAATCCCACTCCTGGCTGGCTCCTCCCACCCCGCTCCGCCCCTCCCAGGAGACCCCAGGTGGCCCGTTTTGGGTGCAGGTAAGTGTAGGGCGCGCATGGAGGCTGGGGGAGGTCAAAGAATGGCCCACCCGGAAGTTTGGGAAGGGCGGAAATGGGCCTGTTTCCAGCTTCCAGAGAGCCTCCGGAGACCGGGGAGGGCAAAAATGCCCCCCCTGCCGCCGTGGTGCAGGAGGCCAACTAGGCCACGCCCACCATGACCATGCCCACTCAGCAACTGGGCAGAGAACCCCTTGCTAAAATTTTTGAAGCCCACCCCTGTCATTACCCAACTAGGTAACGTCATCGTGCTCTAGCTCAGGGGTCACCAACCTTTTGGACCCTCAGGGACCACCAAACTCATAATTTTAAATCCCCGGGACCACTAATACGAATTTTGACTGACGGTGGCTTGCTGACGTTGGTGGGAGAGAGAGATCGAGAGAGATCTGATCTAACCTCTCTCCCTCCCTCCCTCTCTCACAAACAGAGAGGCAGGGGTGGGATTCAAATTTCTTAACCACAGGTTCTGTGGGCGTGGCCTAATTTGTGGGCGTGGCTTGGTCATGTGACTGGCTGGGCATGGCTTGTATGTTAATATTATAAATATTTATATAAATATAGGATGGAGATATATATATATATATAAAAAGCAACTTTTACTCAAAATCAGGCAGGCAGATTAAGTTGCTCACAGAAGCACAGATTCCCTTAGAGATCTGTGTTTCTGCCATCGGCTAGCTGTGTCTGCACTGCTTCAGTCCTAAGGAAGGTTCAGCTCTGCTTAAAAGCAGAGCGGAAGATCTAAAGACTAGCTAGAAAGGGAGAAACGCAATGATTTCCTGCTTTCTAGCTAATCTAAATCTCCCGGCATAGCAGAACAGCTGATGGTCAGAAACAGGAAAAATAGCAATTTAGCAGGCAAGTTTACCGGGTAAGGAGTGAGTGGGCGGGGAGGGTTCCCGCAGGCCACGTGGGCAGCGCAGCCTTGTGTTTCTACGCAGCTTGGATTAATTGCTTTGGAAGGGTGCTCTGGGAGTGACATTCCTCTGCGGACCACCAAAATTTTCTCGCGGCCCACCGGTTGGCGACCGCTGCTCTAGAGAGCAAACCCAACACCCTTCTAACGCTGACAATGCTAGCTAGTTGGGTCTTGAAATGTCTGCTAAGGAAACCAAGCTCTAAGAGCACCCAAGACCCCACAGAACCTCTAAGAAACGTCCACCCATGTGACCAGTGACCCGCAGAGGTGAATGGGCTCCTTTTGAGAGACTACCTTCAAGGTGAGTTTAGGAAGCCATCTGGCAGGAGCCTTTCTGGATCCCTACCCTAAGCAAGAGGCTGGGCTTCATTGCCGCATTGGCTCCTTCTAACTTTTGCCGTTTGTGGGGTTTTTTTTTTTACAACTCTGTGCACTTCATCTTCATCTGTTCTGACCTGTGAATTGGTGTTCAAACCACCACCCCCGCTGACAACAAAGTTTTTCAACCCTTTGGCAACAAGACCAGGAGGAGGGCCTGACAGCAGAGCCTGCCAAATTGGTCTGGGCCTTCCTGAGGATTGCAACGAGATCCTAAAAAAAAAACAACAACAAACCCATCCCCTCTTTGAACTGGACAGGGATGTTTTGAGAGGAAGGAGAGAGAAAACGGAAGAACCGTTTGTCAAAAGCTGGCTTTTGTTGGGATTCCTGCAGACGGCAGGAGCTGGAGCGGATGGCCTCAAGGGTGCCTCCTGGCTATTACAGCTTTGAAGCGCTTACCTTTGTGACAGCTGTTCTCCAGCCAGAGGCCTCTAGACTACTTCCCCTTCCCTTCTTCCCCCAGCCTTCCTCCCTCAAAGTGCCTCCTGTCCTTTTAGAAGGGGCAGAATCCCGGAAAGGAAGACCCAAACGACTCCAGCCTCTCCTGTAACCAGCAAACAATAATGACCAATAAAGGAGAATATTACTAGATCAAGGTCTACCTGAAGGGTCCTTGGTGCTCTCTGAGCTTGGCGTTTTTTTTTGTAGTCGTTTCATTACCCAACTAGGTAATGTCATCTGTGCTCTGGCATCTGTTTCCTGGTGACTGGCCCAAAGTCACCCACCCTAAGGAGGAACTAGAATTCACCATCTCATGATGACTGAGCCGAAGTCATCCAGCTGGCTTTTATGCCTAGGCTGGGACTAGAACTCACTGACTCCCGTTTTCTACCCTATTTTAGTTTCATCTATCAAACCATTATGAGTCCTGGCGATGCCAGTTGGCACGAGAGCAGGAAATTATACTGAAAAATGGGCACTGCCAAGAAGGGCTACTGCAGGGTTCTGCAGGTTTCAGAGCAGCCAGCCCAATTTTCTTTGCCAGATGCCAGATTGCTGGCAGGTGGAGCTGCTAACTAGGATTTGAACCCGGGCCAAGCACAATTCCAGTAAACAAAGGCAAAGAGAGGAAACAAATCACCAGGACAGGAAAAAAAAAAAGCAGCGGAGGAGAATGGGGAAAGATTCACGGAGCGAACCTTTCCATGAAGCTGGGTTTCATTTCAAGGCTGTAAATCTTGAAGTTTCTCAAGGAGGTTTTGTTGAAAACAATGTCACCAATTAAGCCTGCAAGAGAAACAAAAAGTAAGGCTGATGAATCACCTTTCAAAGGGGGAGGCACGGCCGGCTGCCAAGAGCGGCAGCCGCTGCTGCCGCCCTCCAGTATCTGGCGTTGGGGTCCACGCAATTCTGAATCAGAACAGAGCTGGAAGGGACCGTGGAGATCCTCCAGTCCAACCCCCCCCGCTCAAGCGGGAGACACTATGCCGTTTCAGGTAGGTGGCTGTCCAGTCTCTTCTGAAAAGCCTCCAGTGATGGAGCAGCCCGCGATTTCTGGAGTCAAGTCGTTCCACTGGTTAATTGTCCTAACTATTAGGACGTTTCTCCTCAATTTCAGGTTGTTTCTCTCCTTCATTCGCTTCCATCCATTGTTTCTTGTCCTGCCTCCTGGTGCTTTGGGAAATAAATTGACCCCCTCTTCTTTGGGGCAGCATCTTAAATAGCAATAGCACCTAGACTTATATACCGCTTCAAGGGTTTGCCAGCCCTCTCTAAGCGGTTTACAGAGTCAGCCTCTTGCCCCCCCAACAATCCCGGTCCTCATTTTACTGATCGCGGAAGGAGGGAAGGCTGAGTCAACCTTGAGCCTGGTGAGATTTGAACTGCCCAAATTGCAGGCAGCCAGCAGTCGGCAGAAGTAGCCTGTAGCCCTGCATTCTAACCACGGCACCAGCACGGCTCCTATTGGAGTATTAGAATATTGGAATGAAGGAATTTCTGTTCCTTGCAGGCAGCTGGTTATTTGCATCCTTTCAGAGTTGTTGAGGCCACCTGAAAGCTTATCGGAGGCCAACTATGCAAAAATTGAACAGCCCCCACTCAACAGAGGGGAGGGATATGAGATCATCTCTTTCCAATCTACAGCACAGTCCTTTCAACAGTTCCAAAAAGGCTCCACACCCATTTGCACCACTCAGGTGACCCTGAGGACACAGGTAAACCTCCAGGAGACCTTAGTGACCTACTAAGAGGATGCAAATGACCAGCTGTCTGCAAGGAGTATAATTCCTTCCATTCTCCACCATCCAGTCGGAGCTGAAGAAACCTCTCAGATGAGAAGCGAAATGCCTTCAAAGAAAAAAAACAGAAAGTCCAGTTGCCTCTTGAAAAAAAAAGCATCTTTTGGGGGCATCTTTCAGGGTACAGAAGTTCAAGGTTGTTGCTTCAAAGCAGGGAACATACAATCCAGGCAAAACTTTCTTTTAATTTCAGTGAAAGTCACAAGAACCGAAAACTGTGTGTGACTTACCTTTCCGTTGGTTGTTCAGATTAAGCCCGTAGTTGACTCTCCCGGAGTTCTCGACTAAAATTTGCAGCTGCCTATATCCCTGCAAGGAATAAGAAAGGGAAAACAGGTCGTCCTTGACTTACGACCACAATGGAGCCCAAAACGTATGTTGTTCAGTGAGAAATGTGGCTGAGCGAGTCTTGCCCCATTTTACGACTTTTCTAGCCACCTCTGCTAAGTGAATCCTTGAAAGCTGTTAAATTAATCAGATAGCTGTTAAGTGAATCTGGCTTCCACATCGACTTGTGAGAAGGTCGCAGAGGGGATAGGTGGGCGGGTGGCTCCGTCAGCTGTGGAGGAAACTGAGGAAGGGCAAAGTCTGGGTGGGCAGAGCAGGGGAGAAGGTAGAGCAACGCAGAGGGAATTCAGAAGAAGACCCAGGCCCACCCCCAATTCATCCTAGGGCACGCAGGCAGGAACGCAGAAGGGAGCAACGTGGGTTGCATGGCTTACGGGGGAGGAAAGGGCCCTGATTCCCTTCATTAGTTGCAGCTGAGAACAGAGTGGATAAAAAGAGGAAGCTGCACACAACAAGTTGTTGAGAGCAAACATGAATTTATCTGATATCGCTGAGGCTTATCTGTGTTTTGGTGTCTTCCCGGCTGTGTTGAGTTTTGCTGTGCTTTCAAGTCTGAAATTCCTTCTCCTGCCCTGTCAAACTAATTAGTTCAGTTTGGTTTGTTTGGATTTTTAGTTACAGTTTGTGTGGACCTTGTTTTGGACTGAATTTCCTACAGTTAAAGGTTGTTCTGGGAGAGTTTTTCTCCAGCCGAAGGTAACCTGGACATGGGGGGCAAAGTTGGAGATAATAAAGGGACTCTTATTGCTTATTTGACTGTGTCGCCTCTGTGCCATGCCCCGGGTCATCACAGTGGATGTGTGAAGAAGATCTGCAATTCCAGCTGTTTTCTTTTCCTGACTGCTCACCTGTCGGTTAGGAATGGGCAGCTCCTGTACATTGTAATCAAGGTGGCCAATGTATCGAGTATTAACAAACACCTGCAGGAAAAGAAGAAAGATTTTCAGAGTTTTTCAGAGATTGTAACTAGGTGACTGAAGTTTCTGCCGCGCAAAAATCTAACTGGAGAACATGATTGATGACTCTTGGCTATGGATGTGTCCCATTGGAGAATATGAATTATAATACACCCAGAGAGGTGGGGGGAAACCAAGGTAAAAGGGAAGACTTTCAGAATAGGGCCTAGGTAAGGCAATCTATATTAAAGACCAAACTTCTGAACACAACTGTAGATTATGTGCGTAAAACTTACAGGGAACCCACAACATACGACCACAATGGAGCTGAACATTTATGTTACTAAGTGAGGAATTTGTTAAGGGAAGTTTTGCCCCGTTTTACGATCTTCCTTGCCACGACTCCGGAACACTGCAACCGCCATAAATATGAATCAGTGGCCAAGCATCCAAATGTTGATTACAATGGTCACTAAATAACCCAAACAACTGGGAAATGTGGGAACTGAAGTCACCAGAGTTTCAAGATGTTTATTCAAGAAGTGAACCTCGTGTCAGGGCTCCGAGAAATCCACCCCCATTCAAATCATAAGTCTCTAGCCACATCTCTCAGAGTTTTTTTTTTACAAAAAGATTTATTAGGAGTGACCATGTCGGTGTTACCTGGGTGCAGCTGACACTAAGACACATTATTCATTTCCCCCTTGACCCTGGGTCTTCTCCCGCACCCCCTGGAATGTATATTCTCCAATGGGACACACCCATAGCCAAGAGTCATCTATCATGCTCTCCAGTAATAATCTTGCGCGCCAACAGCTTTGGCTGCCTAGCAATTATCTGAAGCATTTAAGGAATGCTCTACTTTCTGCTGGCAACTAAAAAGACCAAAGGAGTATTTTTTAGTTGACACCTCGATCCAAGGAGTTAACTAAGATCTAGCCAGCTTTTCCCCTCCCAGGAGGTCGTAACCTCGCACGTCCATCCTCACCTGTGCTCGGTCTCGGATGTAATCACGGGAATAGAGGGTTCCTCCACCGAGGATGACTGTTTCATAGAGGGTGTAGCCAAATGCCTGCCCGTTGCCATTATTTATTGGCAAGTTCTCCATGTTAATAGGGTATTCTGACTTCACAATCTGTAGAACAGAAACCAGAACAGGATCCTAACAGCAACTGCTAAGAAATAAGGTGTGTGTGCGTTTTTTCCCCCCCTTAATGAGTTCATGAAACAGACACAGCTCCATAATAAGCTAACACCTTCGGTGATAATAAGGAGAGAGAAAAAATCCCCATTCTCTCCCCACCCCATTAACCTGCTTTCCAGCTCCGTTCTCCTGTGCAGGGCAACAAAAGAAGATCCAGCCAATCAGCTGGGACTCAGGAGGCGGAGAATAGATGGGGTTGGTGGGGCCAGTCAGAGGTGGGATTGGCCGGTTCTCCCAACTACTCAAAATTTCCGCTACCGGTTCTCCAGAACTGGTCAGAACCGGCTGAAAATACCACCTCTGGTTTGTTCCCATTCCCGTCCCAGCCAGTCTGAGCACAATTCCTCCCTGGAGAATGACTTACCTCCATTCCCGACAACAATTCCCACAGTGAGATGTATTGCTGCATCAGGATGGCCCCGTAGGATGCTTTATGTGAAATTATCGGAGGTGGAGGGAGCGGCGTCTCTTTGGACGAAGAGAAGACAAAGAACCTGGTTGAATCCAAGCAGTGGGTTGGTGGGAGAAATTCCCCCAATTTCGGGTGGGTGGGTGGGGCTTGAGAAGAGCTTAGTTCAGTGGTAGCTAACCTTTTCAGGCTCTTGTGCCAAAAAAATTATGTGCGCGCTTCCACGCTTGCGCTCCAGCACTCAGAAGGCAATGCGCACCTCCCACGCCCCCTATGCATGCGTGCGCTATCCTCGCCCCCCCTTACCTGCACTGCGCCTTACAGCTGATTTTTGGCCGGTTTGAAGGAAGGCTTCTGCGGGCTTTGCAGGCCGAAAACTAGCCCTGTTTCGTCACTTCCGGTATTTTCGGAAAAACAGGAAGTGATGAAACGGGGCTGGTTTTCGGCCTGCAAAACCTGTAGAAGCCTGCAGAAGCCTTCCTCAAGCCTTTGGGAGGCCGGAAAAGGCCTCAAATTGGCCAAAAATCAGCTGTGAGGTGCATGTATGCGCAGCGAGGTAAGTCTGCCTACAGCTCACATGCCGGTACAAATGGCTCTGTGTGTCACGGTGCCACACAGGTTCACCCTCATGGGCTTAGTTAGTCCTTGACTTACGAACACAACACAACGAGCTCAAAAATTTATCTTGCTAAGCAAGGCAGTTGTTAGGTGACTTTGGGGTGATGGAAGGAGAGGGGGAGGGGGGGAGGAGGATCATTTCTGCGTTGAATGAGGTGGAGGAGCTAGCTGATCTACAAAAGCTAAGCATAGCCAGACCTGGGTAACCCTAAATGGAGGAAATGTCAGGACTCTCGGCTAAACCACTAAGATGAAATAGAAAAAAAATAAGTTTTCAAGCTGGGCTCCTCTGCTCCCACCAGCCTCCGGAAAAGGCGAAGGACCTGCTCCTTGGTTTATGCAATTACCTATCATGCTGGAAAAAAGCTTGCGCAGTTTGAAGTACTTGGCGGTGTAATCTCCAGCCTCGGTAAGCACAGCGTCGTAATCTGGAAGAAAAAACAGAAGTGGAGCAGGTAGAGGGGGAAAAAAAATCTAGTTTACCTTATTTATAGGTGTGTGTCATGGAAATCACAAGACTGTAACACACATAAATAGGTGGGATTCACACAACACTCTTAACCAGGCTAGGAGCAATCCCAGAGTTGACTTTCTCACAACAGACTAAGTTTGGAAAGTACTGATTACTAGCACTGATGATGTTAACTAGTTAGGGTAATGAAACATCTGCAAGTAAACAACCAAGCTCAGAAAGCACCATGGCCCCCTCATTTCAACCCGAGCTATTAATATTCTCCTCTATTGGTAAGCTTGGATAGTTTTAATCTAGGTTTTAATCTTTTGGGGTTTCAAGTTCAGTTCATCAATGTGAATTAAAAAATGGGTTGTTATATACATATTACATATTATGAGTTACACCTGTGGAAACGAAGAACAGAAGGGAAGCCATACTTATCTGATATTTGAACTATCCAATGATTATTGGACAGTTATATAACTATATCTAATAAACATGTACTGTTTTGTAACTTGTTACGTTCTAAAGTAAACGTCAGGCTTTGGGGCAGAACATGGGTCTGTACTTTTTGGCACAAGGATATAACTAGATAACTTCATCATCCCCACAAATAGGGCATCTTAACAATTTAATAGCAATAATTAACAGATTTAATAGAGTTGGAAGGGACCCTATAGGTCATCTAGTCCAACCCCCCACCCAAGCAGGAGACCCTACACCATTTCTTACAGAGGGCAGTCCAATCTCCTCTTGGAAGCCTCCAGGGATGAAGCTCCCACAACTTCTGCAGGCAACTTCTGTTCCATTGGTTGATTGTTCTCACTGTTAGAAAGTTTCTCCTTATTTCCAGGTTGAATCTCTCCTTGTTCACTTTCCATCCATTATTCCTTGTCCGGCCTTCAGGGGCTTTGGGAAATAGCTTGGCCCCCTTCCTCCTCTCTGTGGCAGAACCTCAACTATGGGAAGACTGCTATCCTGTCTCCCCTGGTCCTTCTCTTTTCATAGATTTCCTATGCTCAATTCCTGCAACCGTTTGTCGTATTTCTTCCCACCCTACAAGCGACAGGGCTTGCTGGAGAATTGAAACTGTTCCTCATCAGACTTTTGGCTTTCATTTGAATGAGGTACCAGCAAAAAAACACCCAGGGATTATGGGCTAAATGACCATCGTTTTGGGGAAGCTCCTCCTTCTTCCAAACTGAGATTGTTGTCCATTCTAGTTGTGTTCTCCCAGGTGGGAACTAACCGGCTTCTTCTGCCTTGACCTCCCAACGCAAGCATCCTTTGCAAGCCAGGCCTGATCGGCCAAGGGAACCTTACCGTAGCTGGTGATGGTTGCCTTGTAGTCGTTAAAATGTACGGCGCCGTTCATGAATCCAAAATTGGTGCCTCCATGGAACATGTACAGATTGATGGAGGCTCCAGCCCGGAGGACGCCCTCCACCCTTTCCAGCATCTCTGCAGAGAGAAACAAAAGCTTCTGGGGTAGCATATTCTTGGCTACTATGGGTAGTCCTCAACTTACAACAGCTCGTTTAGTGGCCGTCTGAAGTTACGCCGCTGAAAAAAAGTGACTTGTGACAGTTTTTCACACTTTTAACAACCGTTAAAAGCAGCCTCCCGAGGGCGACATGATCAAAATTCGGATGCCGGATAACTGTGTCATGCCCCTTCGGAATCTGATTTGGAGGGGGAGACTAAGCAGCTGACAGGGAGTGGGAGTGTGGCTCCGTTGGCTGTGGAGGAAACTGGGGAAGGGCAAAGCCCAGCTGGGCAGAGCAGGGGAGAGGTAGAGCAAGAGAAAGGGAATTTGGAGGAAGACCCAGGCCCACCCCCTCTTCATCTTAGGGCAGGGAGGAACGGAGAAGGGAGCAACATGGGTTGTGTGGCTTACGAGGGAGGAAAAGGCCCTGATTCCCTTCATTAGCTAGCTGCAGCTCAGTGTTTGAAAAGGGAAGCTGCACGTCGTCAAGGCTTATCTGGGTTCCTGGCGTCTTCCCAACTGTGTATGTTTGGCTGTGCTTTCAAGTCTGCAATTCCTTCTCCTGCACTGTCCAGTTAATTGCTGCAGCATGGTTTGTTTGGATTTTTACTTATAGTTTGTATGTACCTTGTTTTGGACTGAATTTTCTACAGTTAAAGGCTGTTCCTGGGAGAGTTTTTCTCCAGCCGAAGATAACCTGGACATTGAGAGCAAAGTTGGAGATTAAGGAACTCTTCTTGCTTATTTAACTGTCGCCTTTGTGCCACACCCCGGGTTATCACAAACTGACTCATGCTTATGACAGTGGCAGGGTGCTAGAATCGCGTGATTCCCCCTTTTTGTGACCATCTGACAAGGAAGATCAATGGGGGGAGCTGGATTCACTTAACGACCGTGCTACTGATTGAAGACCTGCAGGGATTAACTTAGCAAAGGTGGCAAGAAAAAAAAATCGTAAAAACGGGGCGGGCAAAACTCCATTCAAACATGAAAAATAAATGTAGGGTTGTCGTTGTGTCGTTGTTGTTGTTTTTTACTTCCCCTGGGCACGGAGCAACTGCGCCAGCAAAGAACTTACCATCTGCATCGAAGACATTGTGAGGTTCTCCCCAGCTATCAAACCAACCGGTCCAGTACTCCATCACCATCGTTGGCATATCATGCTGAAAAAGGGAAAACACACCATGTGAGAACATGACCTCGCTTGAAGTTGGTGAATACGTGTTCACTCGGCAATCATTTAATTTTGAACTCAGACATTTTTGAGACTAGAATTCAGTCTCCTGTTGATGGTCCCAAAGTCACCCAGCTGGCTTTCATGCTTAAGGTGGGACTAGAACTCCCAGCCTCTTGTTGATTGGCCCAAAGTCACCCAGCTGGCTTTCATGTCTAAGATGGAACTAGAACTCCCAATCTCCTAGTGATTGGCCAAAGTCACCCAGCCAGCTTCTCATGCCTAAGGCAGGACTATCCGGGATTGTAATACCACTGTGATACATTAACTCATCCTTGATTTTTTTTTTTTCATTTTTTCTCTCTCCTCTTTCCCGTCTTTTTCTTTGAATGCTGCACCTTTTATAATTCGAGCCTACAAGCCAAGAACTATCCGGTTTTGCTGAGATGGAAGCCACTTTGAAAGACCTCCTGGGTGAAGATCAGAGAACGAATGCCTCTTTTTAAAAATACAGTGAACCCAAAAGGCGAGGGTAGGATTCAATGAAAACGGAAATGACTTTTGTATCTTCTTTCACGTCCAGATCCTGCAGCAACTGAAGAATCAATGAGCTTCTCGGTGGGTTATTTACCAACGGTTGACAAGAAGGTTAAAAGGAATCTTCCTCCAGCACATTCAAGTAAATAGAGTTCCCAAAAGTCAGTTCTGCCTGGGTATAAATTCTTCGGGGCACATTTGAGCACCGACCAATTATGGGTCTCTAACGACCGTTTTTACTTTGGGCTGCAGAAAACGAACCCCAAGGAAACCAGGGAAGGACTTACGTTTGGAAGACAATGATAAATACAGTCTGGGAAACAGAAACATCGGCATTTGAACAGGTAACAGATCATCAGAGTTGGAAGGGACCTTATAGGTCATCTAGTCTAACCCCCCACCCTGTGTAGCGGGAGACCCTACACCATTTCTGACAAATGGCAATCCAATCTCTTCTTGAAGGTCTCAAGTGATGGCGCTCCCACAACTTCCAAGGGCAAGCTGTTCATAGAAAAATTGGCATCAAGTCTGTTCCATTTTTTTTCTACAAAGCTGGCAGATCTGGAAATCACCATTCTCTTGCTCCCATCGCTAAAGCAATAGCTCTTTGAGCCAGGTTCACTGTCAGCTTTGGAAAACATATTCCATGCTCCCCGCTCCCAACTTCTCAGGCTACATAGCAGTGTGGAATATGGTTTCCATAATATGGTTTTTTTTGAGGGGGGGGGGGGCTCTAGTCCTCGGATCACAAGGGCATTATAAGGTGAGGTCACACCTTGGTAAGCATCTTCCTTACCTGCAGTTTGTTGAGGGAGGACAGGAGTCC